CCTAACTTGGGTGATAAACAGCCTCCCATTCTCCCAACCCTGATCCCACACCTAGACTGTTGCACGTTATACCATTCGATGCCCGTAGTCTAATAGGTTAGCTTGCCAGTGACTATCACCTACTGTATATGATGAAAATGGGGTTCACATCATAAAAGAATCACATGCACATTTAGTTTCGGTTTGCTTTGTAAATACCTTTTACTGGGAAGTCGGTCGTGTCCTCGGATTTCAACGTCTGCGGCTATCTTTTCATTGAAACTTTGCCCACCCTGTTCCTTCACAGAAGCGTGTAGGTTCGCTTGTCGTACCACATTTCTTAATCAAAACTGATAATCGTTATTTGACCGAGCATACGGTAGTTACCTCGATTGGTATGCAGTTTCTTTTAGTGCGTCTATCAGCGGAGACATCCCTCCCCCAATTACATTGTTTATCACTTTGTTGTGATTCACAGTTCCAATTCACAGAAGTCATCGGTCATGATCAGCGGTCAGTCGATGGCCACCAGTGTGGCACGTACGTCCGCATTTGTGGTTCATTCCGCGCATTTTCCCAGTCGTCGACATCACATGGTTGATCACTTGCTACGAGAACCTGTTTCCGACCAATCACAGAATCAAGTTAGTACACTGTTTTTAAAATGTGGCTTGGGTGCTTTTTCTACTCATCAACTATCCACCTCTCACCTCACTAATCTTTTACGGTTCATTCGTGGTCAAGTGGTGTAGGTCATCACCACAATGTCTCATTGTTCTTTTGTTCAAAACCCACCACGGTTATCACTAATATCCACTTTTCATTGATCGATAGCTTCAGATTTGCCAACTTCGTTTCCTGGATGTTGATTGTACATTGTAATTATTTTTATTATAACAAGTGGACATATATGTCTATTTATACGGGCATATACAGAATTGATGTAGATCGTCGGTTTCTCGTGCTTTCATTCCATTATAAGTACACGTTGCAACCTCTCGTTCGCTTTCTCGTTTCGATCAAATGTTTCCATTGAAAACGATCGCGAATAGCACTGGGCTGAGCGCGTGCACACATAACAATTTCCGGTTTCTGAAGCCACGTTTGTTCCATTGCGATCTTTATTCATTTGCATCACTAGCCTTTATCTGGCAAAAGTACCATCCGCGCAGACCAGAATCGCAGTTCTTGAATGCGATGACAAGCTTTGTCATGTTATCCACCAAGTCTCGTGCATCATCAGCCGATAACTGACTTCCACCTCAACACTATGTGTTCCTTCTCGGTTCGCCCCACAGTTCCGATTAGTGTTCTCTCAGCACCCTAACCTGGTATAACGAAACCAACATGACTTTTCAATGGCTGTGTATCTGCCTCATCCGTCGACCTATGTTGCCGAGGTTTAACCAGCCAGTTAGGCCTATGAGGAACCAGGCTTATCTGGTTCAACTTCTTTCGCAACGGTTTTTCCTCAGGCTACCATTCAGAGATCTTCCGTGCATCTTTGAATGCTCGCGAAATCGTTTGTTTTCCCACTGATCCCACGCGCTGGTCGCATTGTTTTCATACAAGTCCACCTTACTTTGTAATTCGCTGCACTCCCCGCCACACATTTTGTCCCTTGTTATCAGCCCTATTCACGCCTCTACCAATGACATCATTCCACATTCTATTTCTTCCCCATCCGCTTCCCTCAACATCTCTTTTAATTCTGATCGCAGTCATACTTCTGTCGCAATCGTGCTCGTTCCTCGATGGTGGCATACCTCTTCAGCTTGGCTCTTTTCACCTGATATTAAACTGGCTCTCAGACGTTCTCTGTTCCACAGGTTCCTGCAATCCACTGGGACACTATCCTTCTCGACCCCATTTTCATTGTCATCCACACATTTTTTTACTTCCCTCTAGTATGTTTATTTACACACACACACACACACACCTCGCGAAGCAAAACTCAGACTCATCCTCTCCTTTTTCTTGTTTACTACCGACATTTGTAGGATGAAACTTCGCCCATGCCTGTTCGTAATCGGGTTCAACGTGAGATGATTCACCTTTGCAACGACCCGACCGTAACATGCAAATTATAGGTCAAACGCTCCTGCGGCTAGTCCCAAATACCGCACCTCGAAATTGCAACTATTTTAACCCTACGTCCTAAAAGTGCTAAACACTCTCCCCCTTTCCTATCTTTTCTCCAATGTATATCACACGCATTTTCGCACACGAACCGGTTTTACCTAGCCTATAACCTTCTGAATCCAATTTACAGTCGCTCATCTTTGGATTATTAGGTTCAGGACTTTTACTGACCTTACTTGAAGAATGCGCATAGTTTTAGACAGTTAATACCCATTTTCCCTTGGCTTTCCGGATTTCACTCAGACAAAATCCCCATCCCGAACCCCGGCATCCACTTCCACGACTGTCCAAAATCTGCAAACGATAGCGCCAATCTCAGCTGCTACCTCCCCTGAGGATCATCCTTTAGACCAGGTCAAAACACAACTGTTCGCATGGTCTTGTCGATGGTTCGCACAACCCTTGCTTTCCAAGTACGGTGGTACTTTTGATCTGGGCGAGCAATTGGCTCGACTAGATCGTTCGGGTGAGTGAACAAATGAACTACAGTGACAGTTAATGTGTGTGTATCTGTTCGAATCAACTTATCGTTTGATTCCTTAGCCAATACTTCAGTCAACTGGTTCGACGGGTTTGAGCCCTTAATTATTTTCAGGAGAACAGCGTTTAAATCAGTTGGCTTTCGCGGTGAATTTCGCCGTGTACAAAGAAAATCTGAACGGAAAAGCTAAGGAACTTTTTTAAAGTACAACTGTATCGTTCATGGGATGAGTTTCGTTTTGTGCAAAGCAAAAGAAATGCAAACTTCCAAGCTAGAAATAATGTACTGGATCGCATAAGACCTTGTTGGATCTCATCGACAGAATGAATCTATCGATCTAACTAAGCGTGGAATTGAGGACCTGGAAAGATAAAAGTCAGTCCAATTCAGCTGCGGTTTGTACAACCAATAACGATGCACTTTCCTGTGCTGGTTTTGGTTGCTGTCTTTTGGCTGCCCATTTGTCCGCAAAAGTAGGAGGAAGAAAGGAAAGTTGAGTGGAAGACAAAATGGAGAATTTCGGTAAACCAAGGTTGCAATGTAACCGAGAGGATGCGCGAACACCACTGTTTACGACACTCAACCGCATCACTCAGTGTCTTTTACAATTGATTACAATTATCCTGAGGTCACTGTCCAAGGAACCTAATGCCACCTACGTGACTGAGTCTCCTGATCAAAGTTTTTATACCATCATGCCGGGTCTTAATTTGGCCATACATGGCTTTTGTCCACTCATTACCTGACTCGGCAAAAATCGCACACCGTAGCAACCTATTTGGTGGCACACGTAACACACGCACATCTGAATCCAGACTGTGCAAAACAAATCATAGTACAATAATTTTTATAAAAAAGAGAAAGTTCCATGGTTTTTGTGGGCAGAATACTGTCAGGTAGCCAAGGTTAAGGCAGATGAATTCTCATGGAGAATCCACAATCAGAACTTTTGACTGGCCAAAGCCTGATCCACTTGGCAGAGGGTCGGTGTGAAAACCGCAACCCATTGGGGATAGATGTTCAGTTCATCAGATCAAACGCTCTTTGAACGGGTTCCAAGGTGCCCAATATACTTCAGTGCCCAACCGAACCGGGGTCTAAGTTGCCGGTTTCCGTCACTGAAAAACAGGTCTTCACGGCTATGGGGTTCATTCCGTCTACTGCTAGTCACTCAAAAATTGGTGAACCAAGTGTGAAAAGATCAGTACTGTTTTTGTTTTCTCAAAATTCAGGTGGTAGAGCGTGTTCTGTACAAAGGTGTATGCAACGTCCGTGCGTAGGTTCCAATCCCTAAACTAAACTTTTAACAATTCGGACCTCAATTTAATTGTCACACCTGTGCTCACAAGATCTTACAAAGGTTGCTGTACAACATTCAAGAGCTTTGGTTGTCGGTTATCTAAACAACATTGCTTGCCTGGGTAACCATGATATTCGTCTTTTTTAATGTGTGTGCTAATCTGCGGCATGTCAAAATAGAGCTTAAGTGGATATTGCGAACTGATTTGATTGTTAGTCAAGCGGTAGATTTTGTTAAACTCGCACGATTTTTCACCTCCAACAGAACCACGCTAATCCAATTTTGCCGAGGATAACAGATGTGAAATAATGAGTTCAAGCATCCGCTGTGCGGTTGCAGTTAAATGTTCTTGTTCCTACAGCAGTTGGTGATCTCATTTCAGCTTCTTTCCGTCTGTCTTCGTCCGCATACAGAGTCTGATTCGGTTGTCACGCCCAGACGCTGTTCTTATCCCAATCCGGAGCTGGCTGCTCTTGGAGCTGTCTCCGTTGATCGGGATGCCGTAGCCTACGCGGATCGACTCACGCGTTGGCAGCAACAACGCGAATCCCAACGAACTGGTCGAGCCAGGTGGACCGAAGTAATCGGCACTCGTGATCGATCCACTTTTGGAATGCGTGGTACCAAAGAGAATGAGGACAATTTGACCGCTCCGCCCTCGGCCACCACCGAATCCGGTTTTCTCACTCACGTGATCTCTTGGCACGGTTCACATGAGCCTTCCTTGATGCGTTTTCATCCGTATCAGCCACACATTGTTGTCGCGGATCGTACCGGTTTGACGGTTTTTCCCATGTTCGGACTGGAACCGCTGGGTCACGTGAATACACCGAATGATTCAAACCCAATCTTACTTGGTGCTTCGAGGTAACCGCAACCATAGGGTTGAACACCTTTTTTCTATCCCAACAACCTTCTTTCCCTTACACTTTATTCGTGTGGATTTGGATCTTGTGACGACTTGCGGCCCGTTATCTTTGACAAGGTTTATCGAGGGTTAAAGCTTAGGGATCTGTTCGTCTCTACAACTACCAAATGTCCCCGGGCTGAGTTGTATGCCACCAAAGGCGTCTCCGGGTGGCAGATAAGACGTCAGTTAGTAAACTGGTGATTCTCCTTGAAAACGGTGAGTCAGGCGGTCGCGGACGATCAACGGCAGTAACTGAGGGTGCGGTGTTTTTTTTTCGGTCCAGCGCTCTAGGTTATAAAGTATCACACTGCTACGTGGCAATGGTATCCCCGTAATATGTAAAGTCATTTTATATTTATATTTTCACACACGCTTGAGTTCAGAGTGTTAAACAAATCACGGTACAATAATCTTTATAACAAGGGAATAAGCTCCGTGATGTACTCGACGCCGCGATACTGACAGGTTGCCCAGGCTAAGGCAGATGAATTTTCTTCTTCTTCATCATCATCATTGCACAGCGTAATACAGTCAAGCGAACTTCACTAATCGCTGCCACACTCATAATGCATACAAGATAAGTGAGAATGTGTAGGGAGGACAGGGATTGGGCCTATTTTTGGGGACGGGAAAAGAAAGCGAATCTCTATAGTCAACACAGAGTACACAGCCCAACTGTGCATACACACATTTTCTAGCGTTCTGGTCTGATAAGATGTGACAGCATGCTCACCATTGCTGTCGGTTCTCAGCCATGACCTTCAGTGTCTCCAATCATGTGGTTTCGGAGTCTTTTGGACCCCAACCCGGAAGACGAGAGACACCTGTTCTACCTAATCGCTCTATGCATTTCTTCATGCCACATCTCCACGTCATCTGCTGGCCACCACGTGGCTTCCTCCAGCCTGTAACAGCCACTGAAAACAAGGCGTGCTGCGGTAGGTGACCGTCGGACATACGCAAAACGTGTCCCTACCAACGGAGCCTATTGAGCTAGATTCGATGAGATAGTCAGTTCTTGTTTGATGTACTCCCAAATACCCGACGACTTACTTCTAAGTTACTAACCCCTCTCACTGCATCCAACCTGGGCTAGACTACGTAGGCATCGATTGTCGAACACTGCTAACCGACGAGTGTCTTTTACCCGGAAGTTCAAGGTCTCACAACTGTAAAGTAAAACTGATCGTACAGTGACGCTGTATACGCGACTTTTCAATGTCAGTGAAACTTCACGTCGCCGCCATATGTGATTACTTCCTGCGTATGCTGCTGGAGCCTTGGAAGTGCCGACGGTTATCTCTTTTGATGCGCTGCCATCGTTTGTCACGCAGCTACCCAAGTGCGAGAAGCAGCCAACTTCAGCTAATTCCTGACCGTCTAATTTCAGAACAGAACTCGCAACACCCAGTCTTGTAGCATCACTCTGCCCTTTGAAGGTGCAAAGCGCATGCCGAAAGGTGATACAAATCTTGCTAGTCTGTCAAGAGCGCATTGCGCATCCTCCATAGATTCGAAC